TCTCTCTCTCTCTCTCTCTCTCTCTCTCTCTCTCTCTCTCTCTCACACACACACACACACACACAAAATGAAATCAAATTATATGCAGTATCAGAAACTGAAAGATGACCTCTTCTCTAATTCCTTAATAACTTTACAGTTAAATTCTCATCAACAGTTGAGAGTTTTGTCTAAGTTGGTTTTGGTGTCTTTTTAAAAATGTAAAACCAATAGTGATCTATGGCACTCACCCCAATTTATTAACTATAGTTTAGAAATCAGGAGCAAACTCTCTAATTTTAATTAATGAAAGCTGTAATTTTCTAATCAAGTATCAATTAAAAGAGAATTGTAGTTAATAATCATATTTAGGACAAATGTTAACTAACCTTTTTTTCAGGAACAGCATTTTTGAGAGAGGGGAGAGAACTTGGCTTGTTCCATTTCACTCATAGGTTAAAAAAGGTTAAACAATATTATCAATCTGAGCCACTGGTATACAAAAACTTAATCTGCAAAATTATAACTATTGTGTATTCCTATTTCTCAGAAAATATCCTACTATGCATATAGCCAATAATTTCTCAAGTTTGTTAACTTACCATTTTTACCACTGTTACACCTGGAATTATATACTAAATGCAATAACTCTTCACCATATATGTTTTATATATTGGCAATCAGATTTCCACATATAAGTACCCCTGTTGTAATATAGATTTTTAAAATATTGGAATCTCAAAACATTCCTTGCATATGGAAGGACTGAGAGAAGGAACCACAACTATTTTAAAAAATTAAATTCCAGTAAGCTATAGAGAAATTTAAACCTGCAGCAAAAAGTATTTTTTTCCATTATTTACACTATCAGCAGATATGGTAATTAAAAGGAAAAATCACAGAATTAAAGAGCAGAGAAATAAAAAATAAAATGTAGAATTCCAATCCCCTGCAGGATGCTCCAGCCTTCACCAGAATATTACTGGCTCTTAACCTGTACAATCCCAGATCAAACAAGTACAGAACTGGAACAGGCATACATCACACTAAGCACAGCTCCAAACTCAGTAAATACTTCTCTTGTATAAAAGAAAAAAAAACATCTTTAGCATCGAGATTATTTTAATTTTTTTTCAGGTAACTGCACATTTACATCGGGATTTTTTTCATCTCTTTATTTTTTTCCCCAAGGCCCCTCTCTTCTCATAATATATCTACACGCTAAATCAATTGCAATACATTTCATATTTTAAAGGTTTAGGACAGTCCTTATTTCTAAAGTTTTGCTCCATCAACCCTCTGAAGTCCTAATCCAAGCCTTCCATCTATTTAAGGGGGAGAAAAAAAACCTTTAAAAAAGCCTGTGCAGGTTTCCCACCAGAGGGAGGCTGCAAGGCACCTTCTATTTATTTTGGGATGAGATCTTAAAACAGCATGCGCATGGACCCGTTCTGTTTTGCTGTCTTTTTTGGATGTCAAGTGCCCCCCTCCGTTCTTCAATGACAGATTCGGCATGTACCCTAAACAAAATGTCTCCATTCCCAATCCCCATTTTGAAGGGATCCTTAAAAACCGCCTCTCCCACCAAAACCCCAAACATCCCACACGCTTGAGCGTCCTCACATGCGCGCACGCACACACACACACACACACAAATCATGGCAAGATTTCAAAAGTCATCCTAATAAGCTCAATGAAGGTCTGGTCTGCCCCGCCACAGCCTGGGGTTTAAAGCCCAGGCTTGGCCAAGCACGAGCAAGGCGGCAAGCCAGCTTACCAGAGTTGTACTTCAGCCTACAAAGGAGTTGAGACAAACACAAGGCGGAAAAAGCATGTTAATTATTTTTTTCTCCCAAAGAGCTGTGTTTAATTAATTCATCTGTTAGGGATGCAAGACATTATTTTCCAACCCCCAAACGGGATGGAGGCATGTATACCACCCACCACCCCCAAACAGTCCTCTGCTGCTTCACCCCCAACCAACCAACCAACCCCTTACACGAAACCCAACCCAACGCAACGCAAACCCAACCAGGGTGATGGTGGCTTGGTCACGGTTTACGAGAAACCCAACTTCTCACCTTTATCCTGAGAGCAAGACAGGATTTCTTCTTCTTTGGGGTTAGTCACCTGGGTGATAATGGACGGGTTGTCCATGGAAACTGAGTGCGCTTTTTCCCCCCTTTTCACCTGGCTTATTTTTTTCTTTTCTTTTTTCCCTCCCAGAGGCAGCTTTGGTGGGCACTTTTTTAATTCAAGCTTTCCTTTTAGGAAGCCGAGAGGCGGATTTATAAATGGGGCGAGGGTGGGGGGGAGGGGAGGAGGGAGAGGGGAAAAAACCACTCCCCCAAAAAGGAGCCCAACCAAGCCGCCACCCCCCTCCCAAAAAGGGGGCCAGGGATAGGAGGAGGGGTAT